CCGTCCTTATCCTCCCCTCCCCTCCGGTGTCTTGCTCCTCGCCCTCCTTCTTTCCCCCCCCCCCCCCCCCCCCCCCCCCTTGTCGGGGCAACCCCCCCCCCCCCCCCCCCCCCCGTCTTTACCTTGTCTCACTTCTTTGACCACCTCCATCCCCTCTTTCACCACCTCCTTCCAGCAGTTTTTTGGAGACCTCTTCTTATTCCCAGTGAAGTTCCAGAATGAGATGGCTTTTGCCTGCTAGTCATGCATGCTTAACTGTTCTCTCCACCACGTTCTTTATAGAATAAAGCGGTCAAATTAGATGTTTCCTAAGACCTCTTGGAGCTCTGATTTCCAGTGATTGTATGAGTAAGCTCAGCCCTCTTTAGTTTGAAAGAGACTGCCATCTCCCCTCGATGTTGACAGGTGGCTTTGTGAGGAAAGCCCCTGAGAGGAATCTAAATTTTGGAATATTTAGTGCTTTATGATAAGAGTATCTATAGGTTTTAGACACTGAGTCTACCATATATTATTTAGTAGGAAGTAAACCTCAAGAACTGGTGAAGACAATAGTGAGAATTTTAATGAAGGAACCAAATCTGGATGAGGATGAATAGGATAGTTTTGTAAATGAGAAGCTGGTAATAAATGTAGAGTTGGCAAGTGCAAAGTGTAAGTATTGCATTGAAATAGTAAATTTTAGTATGAAGGAGCTTGGTTGGGGTTACTTGGATGATGTATATTCTGGTGACCACCAGGGAGTGCTGTAGCCAAACTAATGTATCCTTATGCTCACAGCTGTTTTTTATAGCCAGATCATTCACTTTGGCCTTAGCCTGAGGGCACACCTAATGTTCCCTTCAAGGTGGGTCAGGATGACTAGCCACAGTCTAGAGTTGTTCCAGGAAAGATCTCTAAAGACAGGATCATAAAATCCTGGAATATTGTAACTGGGAATGGAAATTAGAGTGAACCTTTTTCCTTTCACAGCTGTGGAAATTCAGACGGGTTACTTGCCTACACAATTAGTGGTGGAGGAGGGCTTAACAACCAGTTTTCCTTGAGGTAGCTAGGGGGTACAGTAGATAGAACTCTGGGACGTCTAGTCAGGAAGACCTGAGTTCATGTTTAGCCTCAGGCAGTATGTGTGTGACTCTGGGCAAGTCACTTAACTTGTGCCTGCCTTAATTTCTTCGACAGTAAACTGGGGTTCATAATAGTTTCTACCTTGAAGGGTTGTTGTAATGCTCAAATGAGATAATATTTGTAAAGCGCTTAATAAATAAATAATTGTTTCCTTCCCTGCAAGACCAATGCTCTTGCTACACTGCCTGTCAAAAGCCTCTGTGAAATATCTGATCTTCAGCTTGGGGTGGGGGACTGCATTTAATTCGATTCAGTTCAAATTTATAAAGAACTTGCTATGTGTGGAGTACAAGGTATTATACTAGGATAGTGATTCCTAAAACATGTGCCACAAAACCTCCCTCCCCAGAAGACTTCCATGTTCCTCAGCCTCCACCCTACCCCACCCCGAGCTGACGTTTGCTGCTTGCGGTTCCTGGCCTGGTTGGAAAGTTCACAGTTGCAGCTTTATCCCCAGAGGTGTTCTTCTGCCAACTTAAATATTAAATGTGCCACGATTCCTTATGGCAAAGAATGTTTTGCCATGTACAAAAGAACTTTGAGAACTACCGTGCTAGGGATACAAAGACAAAATGAAAGACAGTCCTTGTCCTCAATGAGTTTACATTCTATTGGGAGGATACAACTTTTTGTTGTTCAGTTGTATCTACTCTTCATGGCCCCATTTGGGGTTTTCTTGACAAAGACCTGGAGTGGTTGGCCATTTCCTTTTCCAGCTTATTTTACAGATGAGGAAACTGAGGCAAACAGGGGTAAGTGATTTGCGCAGGGTCCTCAGCTAGGAAATCTCTAAGGGTGGATTTGAACTCAGAAAGAGGAGTCTTCTTGACTTCAGGACTGGCAATCTGTGCACTATGGCGCCACCTAGCGGGCCCATATAACTTTCGTCCAAATAAATACATACATTACAGTTTGAGAGGGAGAGGGAATACTAAGTCCTCAAGAGCTCTCAGGCTGGATCAGTACTTTCATAGCTAGATTTTGATCAGGAAACAATTCAAACTTATCATAATAATAGTAACAACTGGGGCCAGAAACTCCTGAGTTGAAATCCTCCCTCTGACATATACTGACTGTGAGACCTTGGGCAAATTGCTTGAGTCCTCAATGCCTCAGACAACTCTTTGAGACTATGGTGTTGCAAGGAAAGTTGATTTGCATGGATAAAGAGAGTTGTAAATTTAGAACTATGCTTATTGATTTAATGATTGATTCAGTGTTTTAACCTTCTAAGTAGCTAAACACCGAAAAAGAAAAAGCAGGAATCATAATCATGTATATATCTGCCAAACTGCTTTCTAGCTTTCTTAGTAATTCATGTTGAATAGGGAGTCTTCTCATTGGCTTGTATCCTGGGATTTATAAAACTCTAAGTTAATTTTTTTCTGGGTTTTGTTTATGTAGTCTGTTTCACTGATCAAGTTTTGTACTTTTTGCCAGTACCAAAAAGTCCAAATTTTTTTCCATACGTTTCACCCATGCAGTACTCCTCTGGTTCCTAGAATTTTTCTTGCGAATACATCTTCTTTATTCACAGTGCTATTCCTTTTTATTCTGTTCCTTTGAAATAATATGTATCCTTCCAGTGCTTTTTTCAAGTTATGGGGTCCAGGCTTACCAAATTTCAGTGAACTATGAGGTTAAGCGTGTGTTCTTTAATTAAGATCTTAGTTCACCTTTCTGGTGGTTCATTTGCTTATAGACAAAACTATTGGTTTTATTCCTAGCTCTTTTCTTGGATTTTGGTTTCTGGTATTTACTGAGTATCTTAACTGCTATTCTTCTTTCTGTGTTACAGCTTTTGTCTGATATTGACATTGATAGATAAATATAGGCACTTTCCTCCTCCCTATCTTTTCAGATTAAAGTCCTTTTGCTTGGATATGCAGGACTCCAAGTAAATGCATTTTTGATTAGCCTGTATTAATTGTATATGTAAAGTACTTTACAAACCTTTAGAGCATTACATAAATGCTAGCTATTGTTATATAATGTTCTCATTTTGCAAATGAGGAAACTGAGGCTGAGAGGTTAAGTGAATTTACTAACTGCCGCATCAGTGGTCAGAAGTCTATCATTGCTGCTCTAAGCCATACTCCATGTATCCAAATCCCATTCTCAGCCACCATCATCTTAGCCAGCTACTTACTTCCTAAATCTGTCTTACTCTTAGGAAGCCCCTTGTTTTCTCTTGGTAGCAGTGATGAATATACCACCAGTGCCCCTTAGGTCTGCAGATTTCAGTGCAGGATTTCATATTCCTTACCAGTGGTTCCTACATTCCTTTTGGCATGATCATCATGGTCTTTTTCTTGCATTACCAGAAGTGTGTATTGCCCAAGAGATTTAGCAAGTTTTGGGAGGTTCTCTGTCACGTATTAGATACATGCCCTGGAAAGATAGCATACCTCTCTATTATTAGTGTAATAACCACTCTTGGTACCCCTCAGTACCAGCAAGAAAAACCATGGGCAGTTAGGTGGTACAGTGGATAGAGCGCTAGGCTTGAAGTCAGTAAGACTCATCTTCTTGAGTTCAAATATGGCCTCAGATACTTACTAGCTGTGTGACCCTGGGCAAGTGATTTAATCCTGTTTGCCTCAGTTTCCTCATCTGTAAAATGAGCTAGAGAAGGAAATGGCCAACCACTCCAGTATCTTTGCCAAGAAAACCCTAAATGGGGTCACAGAGAGTCAGACACAACCGAACAACAACTCAACAACAACAAACCCCTTCTACCATCACTACTTATCTTTCATTCCTCTGACCCTTATTTAGTTGATCTCTCTCCTGATGTCATCTGTGGATCATTTAAGGATGGTTTGAATCTCAAGTAGCTGTTTCCTCTTCAGAGTATTCAATTCCTCAGGAAGAGCCTCAGATATTACTTAGCTTTTCCTGTTTAATTGTCCCTTTTTCTTCATTGTTAAATCTTCCACCCTTCTACCTCATTACGTAGATCAGGATTTCCTTCTGTTTGTTCAGCTTGTTTTTCCTTCTTTGTTTTTACTCTGTCTAATTTGCTCAGCTGTTTTTGATCAGCAGTTAGCAACTTTCTGCCTAGGCCTTGCACTTGCAAAGACATTGTAATCCATTGGGCTTGGGAACTGATGAGATGTAGGCCGTCCATGAAAAGGATTCATTCTAATGTTTCTTCCAGTTACAATATTCCAAGATCCTTTGATTCTCTCCCTCCTTCGACAACTCTAGACTGTGGCTAGTCATCCTGACCCACCTTGAGGGGAACATTAGGTTGTGCTCTAAGGTTAAGGCCAAATGTGAATGAGATAGAGAGATGAGGGCATGAAGGAGAGGGAGACAGTATTACATCAATATTGTTTTCTACCATGTTTTATTGCAAATTACAGTATATACTTATATGCATTTAAGTCTATATAAACATGCACACATATATATGCCTACAGATACATGCATATGGAAAGCATACTAAAGCATACTAAACTTCTTGCTGCTTCTCTCTTTTAATAATATTAAGAAGTCGTAGTATCCCAGTTTTTGTTTAAAGTCTTTGGTCCCACCAGAACAGAAAACCTTTTTTCAATACTTAATCAGTATCTTCATCTGAAGTCCTTTTAACATTCTTTTTAAACCACTTTCTAAAAGGAAACTAAGTCAGAATTCAAGGAGGAGCTTTATTCTTCCTCAAGACAGAATTGTTGATCTTCATTCTTCATTGTTGCAGAAGACCAGGTAGCAATAACCCAAGAGCTGGGTGGATAGAACTCTGGACCTGAACTCAGGAAGACCTGAGTTCAAATGTAGCCTCAGATACTTACCAACTGTGTGACCCTGGGTAAGTTACCTAACCTCTGTTTGCCTTAATCCACTGGAGAAGATAATGGCAGATCACTCCAGTATCTTTGCCAAGAAAACTTCATTTGACAGTATGGTCCCCAGAGTCCCAAAGAGTGGAACACATCTGAACAACAAGGACTTGATTAATCCACTTAAGCTGTAATCTAGTGAGGGGTGGGCCTGATTGAGGTTTTTTACCCTCTTCTGCAATAAAATGAGGCACTCCTAGGTTGTTTAAGAGTTAACAAAAGAAGCCATAGCATAGAAAGGATATCCAGTAAGGATATTCCAACACTTAGCTTGGGAAAATATCTCTCCTTCCCCGTTGGAAATGGATCATCTGGTCAGCAGGGCACAGTGTTTCTTGGGACATCTCTAAATCTGAAGGACCTCCCTTCATTCCAGTGCAGCCCTTTTTTATGTCCTTAAGTGACTAGGAAGGAATGTTAATTTAGCCAGTGGCTACCAGGAAGTTGTGTGAAGGAAGGTATAGCTTGTGCCTTAACACTCTCCCCCTAACCCCCCCCCCAAATCAAGTTTCAGGTTGGGGGTGGGATAGAAACCAGCTCACCCCATGTTGTCAGGGGAGGTGAGGAGGACCCATGGTACATAGTAGTCCTAACACTACTTGCCTCCCTTTATCCATGTCTTGGCCAGGTTACAAAGATAATTTTCCAGGATGTACCCAAAGTTGTCATTCTTGTGACAAAACTGTTGTTTGGATTTTGTCTTCCTGCTTAATCTCTATAGTGAAATTTTTCTTTGTTCTTGAACTTTAAAAATGGGAACTCAAAAATGGTTTGAGTAGAGAGGTTTTAAAAATAAAAAATATTAACTTTTTAAAGGCAAGGTGGACTTCTGTCCCTTTTGATTTTTATCTAAGTATAGATACTTAGAATTAATTTCTTAAATTTTATTTTATATTCAGATCTGCATTGTCTTTCTCCCCCTCTCTCCTCTCTCTGCTGTTGAGGAAGCAAGAAAAACAAAAGCCATTATGAACATGTATAGTCAAGCAAAACAAATTTCATATTGGCCATATCCAAAAAAAGTCTTATTCCACACATTGAATTAATTCAGTTAATAAATTTGCCTTTGGGAAAATATGCTTGAAATGCAGAATACTGATTTTTTTCTTCCACAAAATATATTTATCTATATTTCAGTTATATTATGTGTAAAATAGGATTTTGTGGAATAGCTTGGAAACCTAACCATTACTTAAAATCTTATTCTTCTGGGCAGTATTGGATGGATAGAGCACCAGGCCTGAAGTCAGGAGGTCCTGTGTTCGAATCCAACTGATTAGTTTTGTGACCACGAGCAAGTCACTTAATCCTGATTGCCTCAAAAACCTTACTCTGGGAATTTTTCCCCTGAGTTCTAAACAGCTGACTTACAAATGAATCACAACCTAATTATAGTTTGACTGAAATAATAGTGTTGCATCCAGAATATGACTCCTGCATCAGATGACCATAGGGGGGCAGTGTAGGCATATGTTTTCACTTTTCTGTTATTGTCACATCCCTTAAGAACGAATGTCACGTACAGTAATTGATTTGATTTGCTTGACTTACTTCTGATAGTAAATATAATTAACATTGAATTGAAATAGTTATTGTTTATAATGTGAAATGCAGTATTCTTAATAATAATGTATCTGATACATAACAGAAAAGCATCATTCCTGAATAATGCCTCCAGTTAACCTGTATGAAACCTTAGATGACTGATGAGTAAACTTAGATTCTGAGCCCATGAAAAATTGTCACATGTCTAAGAAGGATGTTTAACTATGTGCCCTGGTACAACAGGACATCTTTAGCTAAAGTTCTTTGGAAAGAATGAGAAACAGAATAGTTCCAAGGAGCACAGATGATACCAAGAGCTCTAGATAATAGTTTAAGAGTTGTACATTTGTGGGCAGCTAGGTGGCATCGTGGATAGAGTACCAGACTTGGATTCAGGAGGACCTGAGTTCAAATCCGGCCTCAGACACATAACACTAACTAGCTGTTTGACCCTGGGCAAGTTACTTAACCCTGTTGCCTAGCCAAAAAACAAACAAACAAAAACAACAAAAAGAGTTGTATATTTGTTTCTGTGAAAGAAGACATATTTACATTTTATTTACTGACTCATAAGAATTTGGATTTCAAATACTAGACGATGAGTGGACATTCAGAATGTCTTTAAATGTGGAACTCAGATTCTAGAAGGGAGTGATGTAAAAGAGAATTCAAAATTGCCCATTTAAAAAAAAAGACTGTATTTGAATGAGTAATATAAGCTATCAAGTGTAAACCTTCAACAAAAATCCAAAAGAAAATAAAAAAATGTCTTGGAAGCATTTTTTTTTCAAAGTACATTGAAATTTATCCCTTTCATAGCCTCCTTTAATCATCTGAAGCTAGGAATTTACTTGGTTCTAGTTTGGGAAAATTTTATGAAGGGGGCACTTGATTTGGCCTTGAGGGATAAGTAGGATATAGATGGAGGGAGGAGGAAGGATATGACATAAAGCTGGATGAGCAAAGAGAGGAGAGCATGGGATATATGTGGTGAGCCATGAGTAGTTCAGTTTGTCTGGAGCATGGAGTATATGAAGATAAGTACAATGAAATTAGATTGTAAAGACAGGCTGGGACATTGTGGACAGTCTTGAATGCCAAGCTAAGGAGTTTGATGCATATTTGGACAATGGGGAGGCCTTTGAAGGGTTTTGAGCAGTGGAGTGATGTGATCCCTCCTGTTCACCAGAAGGACCAGTATGTAAGGTGTGTATAGCGTAGATTAGATGGAGGCTGGACTGGAAGTATAGAGACTAGATAAGAGGCCCTTGCTATAATCTAGGTGAGAGACTACACATGTATAAAACGTTGAACAGTGGATGGACTACAAGAGACATCTCTATGCCCTCATCACTGGTTTACTGTGGACTAGTTATATCACTTCTGTGTGGTTCCACTTATGTCTTGTAAAGTAACTGTGTAAGTTGGCATCTACCTCTGGTGAGAAATGAAGCAGTGTCTGGCAAGTGTTTTGAATTCAGTGCTTATATTCACATAATTGTTTCTTTTGATCTTCTTCCATTTCCTTCAACCATAATGAGACTGTACATACCCAGAGGAAAATTCAGCTGCTTTTATCTTCCATTCTCCCCAGAGCATCATCATACTCACTTCACACCTGTAAGAACGATACTTGTGTGCAGTGCAGAGACTTCTGTGTGTGGCTGGACAAAGTAAGGGGGGAATTCTTTTAGGTGTTAGAGCAGGAATAAAAAATTATGTGTATATCAACACATTTATGTCATCACACTGGGAATTTTTTTGTTCTGGTGTCTAGGAGATTTTCAAGGATTTTCTTTTGTCTTTCCAGAAGCAAATGACCCTGAACCCTCTCAAAGCTTGGAAAACTTCCCTTCTGGTTATTATTACAAAAACCAGTGGAGGCCTAGAAAGTTCAAGATGCACCAGTTTAACGAACCTGACAACATTACAGAATGCTTACAAGGAAAAATGGTTTATTTATTTGGTGACTCTACCATAAGGCAGTGGTTTGACTATCTGATCACGTTTGTTCCAGGTTGGTACTTTTTTTTTTTAACAAATACTTCTGAGATATAGGGAATAATCGTACATATGGCCAGGTATTTGGGGTAGGGTGCGGAAAGCACTCATGTAGGCTAGAAAGGTGACGGCCTTCTCTCCTCACTAGAGAGGTGGAGAACTATGGGTACAGAATGTTGTGCATGCTGTCACAAGAGATTGATGTCTTAGTTGGTTTTGCTTAACTGATTTTCTTTGATACAGGAGTGATTCTTGGGGTGAGAGAGAGAGAAGAGAATATTGGGAAGTGATTGTGATGTAAAAACAAAAGGCATCAATAAAATGTTAAAGAAAAAACCAGAAAATAGTTGGCAGATATCCAGTTTCAGTGCAAGAAAAATATTAGGCAGCTGATGTTACTAGGGGAAAATACAACATTGTGCAGAGAATTGTGGGTTGTGAGTCAGAGAGACGAAGGTTCTGATTGTAGCTTTGTCACTGACTAGATCTGTGACCTTGAAAAAGTCAGTTTCTTCCTCTTTGAAATGAGGGGACTAAACAAAAAAAAATTATAAAAATAATAGTTCCTCACATGCATATAGGTTTGTATTATATGTAAATGCTTTTCTTATAACAACTGTGGTGGGGAGGACTGGTGAAGGGTTGACTAGTAGCCTACTTCTGGTGCAGTGGATTCCTCAGACCCAAAGCTTTTAAACAAACATTTCTTTTACTAAAATCATTCCAGTACCATCAGGTAGAAGGAATTTTCAAGGTGCTTTTAAAAAAAAACAGTCTAAGGGGTAAGAACCAATAAAGACCACTGGCAAGGAAGTTAAAAAAAAAAAGCAGCCAGTAAGGAGGTTCACTAGGGTCTCAGGAGCTTCTCACCAAAGTTTCAAAAACCCCTTGGACACTTGTGTTGTCCAAAGGGCCCACAGGTGGGTGTCAGATCAATCCACCTGGAAGCAAAGTTATACCCAATTGTCCCAGGTCTGCAATCACAACTTTCTTGCTTACAGTGTTGGTGTGCTGTCCAGGGTTGTGAGACTGTGGAAAGTTAACCCCACCTACCCAATTTCTGCCCCACAACAATAACCCTGTAAGGTACTCGGGGCATTATTCTCGTTTTACAAGTGAAGAGACTGAGGCTTAGAAATGTTATATGATTCATCCATGGTGGTAGCTAGTAAGTGGCAGTCAGGATAGGAACTCAGACTTTCAGGCTGCATGTCCTGTGCTCTTTCTTCTGTACTCCACTGCCTCTCAGGTGATCTCTTAGTCTAAGTTTCTGTGATTATGCAAAAATGTTGGCATCTTCAAGAACTTTGATTGGTTCAGTTCCCAGCTTTACCTGGGAAGCAAGTAGGGAAAAGCTTTGACTTTCAATTTATAAGCTTCTTGAGGGCAGGGACTGTCTTTTGCCTCTTTTTGTATCCCAGTACTCAGCATAGAGCCTGGTGCATAGTAGGTACTTAATAAACATTTATTGATTGGTTGACCTAGCTTTATGGTGGCAGTGATACAACAGTGATCTCAGCATGGCCCACCACCACCATGTTGTCTCTTTTTCAACTGCCCTAATGCTGAAGATCTACTAGGGAGAGGACTAGCATGTACTGGAGAATTCTTTCTGCCTTGTACCAGAGCATCTCTCCAGGATTAGGACTAGTCATAGTAACTTTATTTGCCAGTCACGTATCTTTTTTTCCTTCTTGCCTTATGGTGCTTTAGGTGAGTGGAAACCTTGCCCTCCATTAAGTAAGATGCTAAATGGTTTAGGAGAGCTCTGTGTGTGAGGAGAATGAATATGGGGATAGGTTGGGGCCATTGTGAATTCCAAGATTAGTTATGAACTTCTTTCTAGTCTGATATGTATGGTCATCACTTAATTTATTGCATCAGAATACTTATTGAAAGAGGCATACTCTCTGTTGCTTGCGAAAAAAGAAGCTGCGATTACTAATTTACTTTTACAAAGGGAAAGAAGAAGTAGATGCTACCATAAAAGGAGAAAGAAACTCAGGCTTTTTTTCTTTTTTTTTAACAGTGATACAGCCTAGTCTAGTTTCACAGAGCACAAAATTGAGAGTTCAGAGCTGGGGAAAAGTGTGATTCCTCCCTGTTTTCCCTCCCACACATTCATTCGCTTAATCAATCACTAATCACTTTTCCCTCTCAAGTCTCTCTCTGAAACCTCTCACATCTGTCTTTTCCACTCCACTGGTACCATCATAGATCTCACTTGAATTATTGCAAGCCTCCTCACTGCTTTCCCTGTCTCCAGTCTCATCGTTCTCTAATTCACCCTACACGTAGATTTCTGTGCACACAGGGGTATGGGGTTCTGAAGGGGGTGAAGGGAATAAGCATTTATATAGGACTTACTATATTGCATTTATTATGTGCCAGGCACTATACTAAACACTTTACAAATATTATCTTATATGATCCTCACAACATCCCTGGGAAGTAGATGCTATTATTTTATCACCATTTTTACAGTTGAAGAAACTAAGTCAAACAGAGGTTAAGTGACTTGTCTAGGGACACATAGCTAGTAAGTGTCTGAGGTCAGATTTGGACTCAGGTCTTCCTGTCTCCAGGCTAGAACTCAATCTGTGTCACCTAGATGCCCACATGACACTTGGTACAGAAGCACTGTCATCGCTCCACTGCTTATCAGCCTTCAGTGGATCCCCATTACTTATCAGATATGTAATAGAATCCTTTACCTTATATTCTATGCCCTTCACAATCTGGTTCTGACCTGTTATTTCAGACTTAACTCTAATGTACTCTAGGCTCCTGGGCAGCTAGGTGGCACAGTGGATAGAGTGCCAGGCCTGGAGTCAGGAAGACTCATCTTCCTGACTTCAAATTTGGCCTCAGACGCTTACTAGCTGTGGGACAATGGGCAAGTCACTTAACCCTTTTTGCCTCAGTTTCCTGATCTGTAAAAATGAGCTGGAGAAGGAAATGACAAACCACTCCAGTATCCTTGCCAAGGAAACCCCAAATGGGGTCACAAAGAATTGGACATGACTGAAATGACTGATCAATGACAATGCTCTAGCCTCCTGCCATCTTTCTAAGACATTCCATGCTTTCCCACCTCTGTTCATGCTGATCTTTATGGAATTCCTACTTCCTTCCTCATTTTTATCTGTTGGCAGCTTTCCTGTACTTCAAAGTCCAGCCCAAATGCCTTCTCCTAAATGAGGCTTTTTCTGATTTACACAGATGATAGCATTTTCTCCTGTATCTGATCTCAAAATACTTTATAAAAACTTCATATTTTAATTTATTTTAAATTTAACTGTGTCACATGTCTCAGCTCTGTGTGATAGATTATCGCAGTTATCCTATGGAGGCCCCATAGGATCACAGATCCAAAGCTGGAAGAAATCTGAGATTAGTCCAATGACTTAATTTTACAGATGTGAAAACAGAGGCCCGGTGAAGTTAAGTCACTTGCTTACTTAAGTGATTGTGTTACCAAAGTAACACAGGTAAAAACTTTGAAGGTAGCATTTGAACACAGGTCTCTTGGTTTTAGAGGCAGGGCTTGTTCTGCTATTCCATAATACCTCCTTTGGGGAGTGTATTTCTCCCCACTACCTAACATAGGCACTATTTGTTGAATGAATGAAAATCATCAAGAAACATTAAATATCTATACTGGTACGGTACTGAACAAAGTAGATTGTCATAGCCCAGGCCCAAGAGGAGGTTATGGCTAGTTAGCCTGTAGCTTTCTTCCAAAACTGATTGGTCTTTTCTTTGACAACTGAAAGGCATCAGAACCATCTTGATCGGTTTCGTGTTTTATAACCTCCAGTTGTCATCTAGGTAAAGCATAATCCTGGTAATCAGACATGATCCATGCAGAAGGAAGAATGGCATTTATTAGTTTTGGAGGACTTCAGCTTTCATTCCACTGAAGTGTGTCTGGAAGATAAACAGTAATGAATTAAGTGGGAGGATTAAGAGAGGCCAACGATTGCCCAAGACAACATTTTCTAAACTAATTTGGCCACAGAATACTGTTCAGCTTGAAATTGACTTAATAAATATTGATCCAGGAAGACTGAGTGTATGGAAGATTCCACATATCACATGGGCAGCTGGATAATTTTGGAAGCTTAATAGAGAAAATCAAGTTTATTTTCAATGACCACCACACCCCCAATTGATGTAGGTACTAAATGTTGTTATTATGGACCCCTTCTTAAATGTATAAAATAAAATACCTAGGATTACAAAGGAAAACAACTATATTGAAATACTGTCATCAAACTACATTAAACAACGAGAAGCTCACAGACCTCAGACTAAGAACTCCTGTATTTAGGGGTTCAGAGTAGGAGCATGGCATTGCTGAGGACTGGGGAAATCTGAGGTTTTGAAGAGGAGGTGGGATGTGAACTGGACTGTGACAAAAGGGTACAGTTTAGATAATGAGACTGGAAAGAGGAAAGTATTTTTTTTTTTCGCTTGAGAGTTATTAGTCTTTTTGCACTTGTTTGAGAGACAGATTTCTCTTTAGGGAAATTGACCTGGCCATAGAATGAAACCAACCAATGAAAGATATGTCATTGCTTCCTTGATCCATTTTCTTTTTTCTTTATTAGTCTTTTGTTTTTATAAAACTTTCATTTCTGAGTATATCCCTCCCTCCAGCACCCAGCAAGTCAACCTTTGTAACAAAGAATAAAAGAGAAAGAGAAAAAAAAAACAGTTCAGCAAAACCAATCAGACATTGACCATGTCTGCCAGTATATGCAATAGTCCATACCCATAGTCCCTTACCTTTGCAGTGAAGCGAAGGAGGTCCATTTTCTTAACTGTTCTCTAGGGCCAAGCTTAGTAATTATAGTTGGATAGCATTCAGTTTTGTTGTTCTTTCCATTTGTGTGATTGTAATCATTGTGTGTATTATTTTCCTGGCTCTGTTTATTCCATTCTATATCTTCCTTTGCTTCTCTGACTTGATCATGTTCATTATATTTTATGACATAGTAATATTCCATTACATTAATGTACCAAAATTTATAGTCAGTCTCCAGTTTATACTTTCCTCCATTTTCAATTCAGTGAAAAATTCCTTAGCATTTACTATGTGCCCAGCACTAATTCTCTGCCATTATCTAATATTAGTGCCTTTCCTCTGTTGATTATTTCCAATTTGTCCTGTATCTATTTTGTTTCTACATAGTTGTCTACATGTTGTTCCCCCATTAGATTGTGAGCTCCTTCAAAGCAGGGACCATCCTTTGCCTTTGTTTGTTTTGTGCTTAGCACAGCACCTGGAGCATAGACGCTTAATAAATGCTTGTTGACCATCTGACTTATAAAGTTTACATTTTGCTTCTTGGGACGTAAAATGAAAGTAGCAGGCTGATTTTCTTGAATATAGTGACCACCTAATACAGCAAGATTTCTTGTTCTGGTGGACAACGTTACACTGAAATCAACCTTTTTCCCCCCAAGGAGCCTTGGATGCAGAAAACGTCAGTAGTTACATTTCTGGCAATTGGACTTTTCTTTTTTAAGCAAGTTCAGTTCCACCTATGCTAGAGCAATAAGCTAATAAATTTAAAGGGGTTTGTGGCATCATAAATTTAGAACTGTAAGGGACCTCGGAGGTTTATTGATGATACCAGCCCACTAATTTTTTTTTACATATAAGGACACTGAGGCTCATGGAAGTCACATGACTCAACCAAAGTAACATAAGTAATAAGTGGCAGAATTAATATTTGAAAGTGGGCTGTTTCACTCCAAATTAAGTGCTTTTTCAATTGTATCACCCATGTGAAGCGTTTTCTTCTTCCATTTCCTTTGTAAATAAATATATACTATCCAAATAAACCCTCCTCCTTACATTTTAGGGGTTTCTGGCTGATAATTTCTATTTTGCCTTCATTCAGATAGATGTCTTTGATTCCTTTAGGTAAGGGAGGTAAGAGAGAAAAGTATTCTGTTTTTATTGTTGAATGTCTTTATGCAAATATATGTTTCAGATTTGGTGGAGTTTAACCTGGGCAGTCCTAAAAATGTGGGCCCCTACCTCGCAGTGGATTTGAAACACAACATTTTGCTACAGTACCGCTGTCATGGGCCTCCCATCCGATTCACTACTGTCTTAAGCAACGAGCTACACTATGTGGCCAACGAGCTGAACAGGATCGTGGGAGGGAGGAGCACCGTGGTGGCCATAGCCATATGGTCTCACTTCAGCACCTTCCCCTTAGAAGTTTACATCCGGCGGCTGAGGAACATTCGCCGGGCAATTGTCCGCCTCCTAGACCGGAGTCCAAAGACTGTGGTAGTTATCCGGACAGCCAATGTCCAGGAACTGGGGCCCGAAGTTAGCCTTTTCAACAGTGACTGGTTCTCTTTTCAGCTTGACACCATTCTAAGGAAGATGTTCTCGGGGGTAGGCGTGTACTTAGTGGATGCCTGGGAGATGACACTCGCCCACTACCTACCGCACAAGCTGCATCCAGACGTAGTAATTGTCAAGAACCAGCTTGACATGTTCTTTTCTTTTGTGTGTCCAGCGAAGACTTAGCTTTGCCCTTTGGGAAGTCCTTCTAGAGGGAGTGTTGGCATTAAATCATGTGAAAAGTGTTTTTTACTTGTGTTCATATAGTTCCTGGGTTTGTCTTGGCAGTAGACTTGTAAGTATTTTACACTGTCTACAGTTATTTTAAATGGAATTTCTCTTTCTATCTCTTACTTAGAGATAGACTAGAGATAGAGATGGACTTTGTTGGTGATATGTAGAAATGCTGATGATTTATGTGGGTTTATTTATATCCTCCAACTTTGCTAAAGTTGTTAATTATTTCAAGTAGTTTTTTAGTTGATTCTCTAGGATTCTTTAAGTACATCATCATATCACCTGCAAAGACAGTTTTGTTTCCTCACTGCCTATTCTGATTCCTTCATTTTCTTTTTCTTCTCACTGCTGAAGCTAATTTCATTTCCAGTACAATATTGAATAATGGGCATCCTTGTTTCACCTCTGATCTTATTGGGAAGGCTTGTAGCTTATCCCTATTACAGATAATGCTTGCTGATGGTTTTAGATAGGTACTACTTATCATTTTAAGGAAAGCTCCATTTATTCCTATGATCTCTAGTGTTTCTGTTGAGAAAATCATATGATTTCTGTTGGTTTTATTATTGATATGGTCAGTTATGCTGATAGTTTTCCTAATATTGAACCAGCCCTGCATTCGTGGTATAAATCTCACCTGGTCATAGTGTATGATCCTGGTGATGTATTGCTGTAATCTCCTTGCTAATATTTTATTTAAAATTTTTGTATTGATATTCATTAAGGAAATTGGTCTATAGTTTTCTTTCTCTGTTTTTGCTCTTGCAGGCTTAGGTATCAGCACCATATTTGTGTCATAAAAGAAATTTGGCAGGATTCTGCCTATTTTCCCAAATAGTTTATGTAGTATTTGAATTAATTGTTCTTTAAGTGTTTGGTAAAATTCACTTGTAAATCCATCTGGCCCTGGGGATTTTTTCTTAGGATTCATTAATGGCTTATTCAATTTCTTTTTCTAAAATGGGGATATTTAAGTATTCTATTTTCTTTTCTATTTATATTTTTTAAAAAATATTCATACATTTCACTTAGATTGTCATTTTTGATGCTGATTATTTGGTTTTCTTCTTTCTTTTTTAAATCAAATTAACCAAAGGTTTATCTTTGTTATTGTTTTTTTTTCTTCTTAATTTTATTTATTAGTTCAAGGTTTTCTGATTTTTAATTTTATTAATCTTATCTTTGGTTTTCAGGATTTCCAATTTGGTATTTAATTGGAGATTTTTAATTTGTTCTTTTTCTAGTTTTTTAAGTTGCATTCTGAATTCATTGATCTGTTCTTTCTCAATTTTTTTGATGTGAGCATTTAGAGATATAAATTTTTCTCCTAAGTACTGCTTTGGCTGCATCCCATAAATTTTGGTATGTTATCTCATTATTGTCATTCTCTTTAATGAAATTAATGATTTTTTCTATGATTTGTTCTTTGACACACTCAAAGTTTATTTAGTTTCCAGTTAATTTTTTATCTATCTTTCCATGGCCCTTTGTTAAATGTAATTTTTATTGCATCATAATCTGAAAAGGATGCAGTTAATTTTTCTGCCTTTTTGCATTTGATTATGAAGTTTTTGTGTCCTAATACATGGTCATTTTTTTGTGTAGGTGCCATGTACCACTGAGAAAAAGGTACATTTCCTTCTATCCCCATTCAGTTTTCTCCAGTGGTCTATCATATCTAATTTTTCTAAAATTCTATTCCCCTCCTTAACTTCTTTCTTGTTATTTTTTTGGTTAGATTTATCTAGTTCTGAGAGGGGAAAGTTGAGGTTCTCTACTAGGGTAGTTTTGCTCTCTATTTCCTTTAGAAATTTGTATGCTATACCATTTGTTGCATATATATTTAGTATTGCTATTACATCATTGTCCATGGTACCTTTTAGCAAGATGTAGTTTCTTTCCTTGTCTCTTTTAATTAGATCTATTTTTGCTTTTGCTTTGTCTAAGATCATGATTGCTACTCCTTTTTTTTACTTTAGCTGAAGCATAATATATTCTGCTCCACCCTTTTGCCTTTATTCTGTGTATGTCTCTCTGCTTCAAATGTGTTTCTTGTAAACAGAATATTGTAGGATTCTTGTTTTTAATCCACTCTGCTATCTGCTTACGTTTTATGAGAGAGAGTTCATCCCATTCGCATGCACAGTTATGATTACTAACTTATTTCCTTCCATCCTATTTTTCCCGTTTATACTTTTGTCTCTCTCTCCTTCTGTCCTGTCCCTCCTCACCATTGTTCTGCTTCTGACTATCCCCCCATCAATCTGCCCTCCTTTCTATCAGCCCCCTCCTTTTCTTGTCCCCCTCCCCTCCTACTTCCTTATAAGGTAAGATAGATTTCTACATCCAGCTGAGTGTGTATGTTACTCTCTCTTTGAGTTGACATTAAATTGAATGAAGATTTCCTTTTCATCCTTCACTTCATATGGAAGATACAGTTGGAGAATTAACTAAAAAGGCTCTACATTATGTAATAGCTTTATATGGTAGTAAGGAAAGGGCTTTGATAAATTCAGGTTATAATTCATATCTTTTTAGCCATAGGAATACCATCTCAAAATAATGGCAATAATGTCACAGGTATCCATTCATCACATCAACATTGTGACCAAAGAGTAGAGGTTCTTAACTGTGTGTGTGTGTGTGTGTGTGTGAGAGAGAGAGAGAGAGAGAGA